ATTTCTCCCCATCCCCAAATAGGCTAAAACAAGGAACACCTTTTATATCCAAAAAGTCAAAAACACTTATATATCTGTTTGTGAATGATCAAGCTTTTGTTGCCTTCTGTATTGCAGCTCTCTACCTATCTGTGGTGGCCTTTCTGGCTGCTTTTATTGGGCAACACGTAGTGAGGAGGTTGATAGCACTGTTAGGAAGAGCATCTTTGATTATCTTTATACTGGCCTCCACGATTTTTGTGAGTGCAATCACGCTAGGTGAGCAACCATCCATCTTTGCACCAAAGAAAGATTAGTAACCACTGTTATTTTTCCCGTTTTCTTTTCATCCATATTTACTCCAGTTATGTTTGTCTAGCTTTTCTTTTTAGTCTGTCGGAAATAATATCTGTTTTATAATTAATGGATACTTTTGGAAAGTAAACTACATTTTATTTTGTGAAGTATTTAATGTCCCAAGGATCTTACAATTTGGGGCATGTGAAGTCTTTAATGTCCCATAAAAAGAGTCTGTTTAAAAGTTTTTCTTGAGTGCCAAAAAAGAGACATATTTTATCAACTGAAGTAGCTTTTTATGTGATTAGATTACTTTTCAAAGTTGCACTTTGCTAAAATTTAAGAGTTGTACTTTCACCAAACAAGACTCTTTTCTGTGGCATGAAGAGAGTTATCTGTAACTTGTGATGCATGGGATCGCGTGAGACAACATTTTGGAAACACTTTTCATATGAAACTGGCATTTCCCTGTATTCCACTTCCCACATTTCTTACGTTACGCGTCCATGCATATGATGCATTCACAATCTGCAACTTCCAAGCAAATTTTGTTAAACAGGTGGGGTTGGAATCTTGAACATGATTAGCAAGATTCATCATCACGAATACATGGGTTTCGAAAACCTCTGCAAGTAAAGTACACAATCTCAGATGATTCATTTTCCAAGATATTAGGCTCCTTTATGCTTCAAAACAAGTCCAAAGATTCTCAGGGCTTGACAAACACATGAATGACGACGCCACGATTTGGATTTAGTTAAACCTTAGTAGTGTATTCTCTTGTTCGATTTTGAACCCAGTTTTAGAATGTATGAATCTATAGCAACTATTTATTGCATTTTCTGTTGTGTTTTTGCGAGTTTTCATTTCCATTTTGTTTGATTTCATTGGATTCCATTAAAATGGCCCTTCGTGGCTGTGATAAAATCGGCACCTTCAGACTTTGTTTACTTAGCTTGCTAAATTAGTTGATAGTGAAAACAAATGGCTGAATGACCAAATTGGTAATAAAAAAACAAAGGCTGTTTGGCAAATTGATTAAAAGGGCTCTGGTGACATTGATAGTTTTAAGAAGGCTGTTACAAATTGGTAAAAAAAAAGGCCCCAATGGTATATTAATAATTTTAAAGAATTTTATCAATAAGAGACTTCAAAGAAAAAATGTGACAGGACCCCAATGGTTGAAAACTATCAAGATCTAATCATATAATGTATTTTATTTATTTAATTTATTATTAATTATATTGTTGATTTTTGATGATTTTTTCTTCAAAAAAGTTTATTAGCCTAATAAGAATTAAAATTCATTATATTTTAAAGCTTAGATTGATACTCCGTAATTTTTAATCACTCGGGGTCCTATATTGACACATTATATGTGTAGGGCCCATTGTTAATTTTAAAAGTATCTGGGTTATATAGTTGACTTTTTTAGTTGTAAGATCAATTCAAATGATCTTTAGTTTTTTTTTAGAATTTGATCTGTTGGTCTAAGGAGATAATATGCATGGAATATAACACGTCTATACTATCACATCACATGGAAGATCCTTTCACCTCGATTACTCTCGCCTCAAAGTGTGGGGCTCCTGATAGAGTATATATGGACTCTGACTATCAGTCTCACACTATTGGGCTTGGACAACAAACTAAGTTATTCAAGTTCAATTGCGACCTTATAACGCCATCACATTTTCTGCTCCAATTGCTGTTTTTGTTTCTGTATCACTCCCTTTGGCAGCATCAACTAATTCACATCCCGGATGATTTTACTTTATTAAGATAAGAGACGGATACTCTTAAGCCCTCAACCTAAAAGTCAAAAATGTAGTCAATATACTCATTCCTTTTCATTTATAATTAAATTTCTTATAATTGATGAGGAACTTAGTAAAAATCAACTAGTTATAATGATAGGGGACATAATGAATAGGTTGTGGCCACTTCAGTCCCTATTCCAGCTGGAGCAGCCGAAATGCTGCTAGTGGGTTGTTCTCCGATGTGAGTCAATTGCTACTATGATTTCAAAAGGCGATTTTCCATATGTAAAATCCAGCTATCGGAATCGAACCGATGACCATCGTATTGAAAATACATTAGAGTTGTGAAAAGGGACATAAGATTTGGCAAAAGGACCCATTACCTTGCCCTTTATATATTTAATTGTAACTACTAGATTAGCTTTTCATGTAGTTGGGTCTATCAGACCCATATTAACAGCTCGACCCACATTATAGGAATAGCTACAAAATAATACTTCCTCCGTTCTTTTTTAGTTACAACAGTCAACATTTCACACTTGTCAACACACTTCTTTGACCGTAAATATATCTTAATCTCTATTCGTAAAAAAATTTAAAAAACAGATTTTGAAAATTTGTAATGAGATGAATTGACCAATATTTTTTTAAAATAGTTTTCATAAAATAATAGCGTAAAAATAATAGCGTATAATGTAAAATTCATCATGTTGCGATTAAAAAACGGAGGATAGTACTATCGTAATAATATGAATGCCACCTTATATACATGAATAATTACATATATGTTACTTGAGGAGTCGAGGATAACTCATTTTGAATATATAGGTATTGGTACTTTATATTTTTTTGACAACACATTATTTTTGAATGGTATTTTGAATAACTACATACGATGATGCCTTAACATGTACTGTATAAAAATTATTTAAATGTATGAAATGATTAATATTGACCGTATATATTATTATATTCTAAATAAGTTTTAATTTTACACTTTCAATTTCTCTATATACTATACACTCCCTATAATACGAAAGGATAGATGCAAATATGCTATATATAGTAAATATTCCACACATCGTGTTTGACTTATTAAAATAAAAAATATTAAGGATGACAAATTCCTAGCAAATGCACAATTCATTAAATATTGTTACATGATACTTATTCTTAAGAAAAAATAATTATCCGAGAGATGGTAAAACAATAAATACGAATAGACTTGCACGTTGACATTTCTAAAAATAAAACTATATTAAAACAAGTAAAACATATACTGTGTGTTCAATTAACTTCATATGTTGATATCTAGGAATCACTAATGAATTAATATAAAAGTATAGGTTGATAGTAAGTTTTATCATTCTCTTGAGAAAGAAACCAATGATGGGAGATGTTAGTTTATATGTGATTTTATACACGATAATTAGAGTTGGACCCGGTCCCGAACTAGATCGGACCGGTTGGGTACCCGAAACCGGCCCAAACCCGGGACTAATTAGCGGGTCGGACCCAGGCTGCAACAATTTATATGGGACCGGGCGGTCTTAGCCCGGAACCGGGACCAGACCGAGCCTAGTCCATTCCTAACAACAATCATACAATTAATGGCATAGTAAAGTGTAGAGATGAAAGTAAATGTTGTATTGAATATGATAATGAAAAGCGAAAATTTACAGGGCATGTATTCGATATGCAGGTGTAGCTACAATTCTCTCTCTAAAAATGTATGAACGCTTATTAATCGATTCTTAGTTCTTAAAGTCACGGAAGCTTAGCCTTCAGATATATCTCAATAGTACGTATTATCTAAAAGTTAGACTTTCGTATAACATGGGTCTTAAGAGCCCAAATACAAAGCTGACCTGGTCTAACAAGTAACAACTAATCTATCAAATACACAAATACAGAAATAACTATTCTAATTGAACACAATAAAATACATTTCTGTGTTCAATATACACATATACGCATATTGCTTATCATTTTTTTTTATGCAAATTCCATTGTATTTAATCTTGCACGAGTTTATTGACTAATTTAATCCAATGATACAAAATGTCAAAATGGTGCTGAAATGAAAAATCATTAACTTGCATATTGTGAAATTGATATATAATTGACTTCAAGTATTTAAGTCAAATAAGCGTTGCCGCTTAGGGTTTAGGCGGACAACTCCGCCATGGAGATGAAGACTGCAACGATCGATTTTTCGTCGGTCAAAGAGGAGGAGGAGGACTGCATCGTCCTGGATTCGCGTCCTGTCTCTAGGGTTTCACCGCTAGAGTTTTATTTGTCTGCTATCGTCTTTTGGCGAGGAGTGGTGCCGTCTTCCGGCAATTCGTTCATGGATAGGGAGATTCGGCTGGAGGCGACTCAAGGGCCGATCAAGGAGATGAAAGAAGAAGATGAAGTGAAGACGTTCCGACCCCCTCCTGAACCGCCATTGGTGGTTCTTGGAAGGTTGAGTAAAGAAATTTATTTTTTTGCTTTTATTTATGTTAGTGGTCTGAATTTGTCTGTGTTTGTTTGTTGTTTTATCTCTTTCAATTGTAAGACTGGTTTTGAATTTGAATGTGGGTGATGAAATGACTGCAGAAACCGCCTTTGACTCATTTGTGTTCATTAATGGATCAACAAGTTATATTGCCGAGACAATAAACTCTAAATCTGGTTCGAGAGACGACGGTTGTCAGGAGATGTTTTGTCGGATTACCTACTATCTGAATGATATGTTATCAATGTAAACCCCTTTCATCCCAAAAAGTCAAATAAGACTAATCCTTTCAATTTATAAACCGTAACATCCAGTAATTATATCACTTTATTTATTTAGTGTTTTCTATGACTGAAGTATTATCTAATCTTTTCGATGCGCTTTTAATCAACAAAATCAACTTTAGATATTTTAATCAAATAAAAATCACGTTGAATATTTGGTATTGTAATTTCTATAATAGTTATAGAATTGCAGGCTTACTGCACTTGAATCCAGTTTTTCTATATGAAAAATGCCCAAACGGATAATAATTAACTTTAAATATTTTAATCAAATAAGGAATAAAGGGGGGAAGATCAAAATGACAACATGTAGATCACTCTCATTCCAATCATCTGAAGCATCATGTCAGGATACAAGAACTTATTATAATAGTTCAAGAATATTTAAAAAAAATAAGAAAACCGTTCCTCGGATTCAAAGCAGTGTTCGCCTTCTATACCCAGCTCCAATCAGTCCACCCCAGCAAATTGAAATTACTCCCGCTGCATCATAATAAGATTAAGCTATTATTTACAGGGGGGGCAAATGCAAACACACAAAAAAACTTCTCTCAAAGAGTATAGTTGAATGTGTGTTCAACCAATAAAAGAGGATTTTGTCATAGTAACTAGCATGCAAAGTTGATTACCTAATAATAATTACTGACAGAATGCATATAAGACCCTGTCAGGTGGTAGAACATAGCACTTCTGATGTAAAACAATGACATTTCACTTTTAGTGGAGATTACCCTACCACTCTTACATACACTTCACCTACCCCTCTTATGTAATAATGTTAGTCTTGTCTACCTTTGCAGCTCCAAATAGATGGTACAAATGCAACCACTAGACAACACAGAGCGTGGACTACTACTGTTGCTCTTATCCACCTCATTCCTGATTATCTGCCACACACCCAGCCATACAAAAATAGAGCATAGCAAGTCTAATAGCTATCACAGAGAGCATCTATTTCAGTTTAGGTGATAATTTTTATCGCAAGTCCTTCGAGTTTTGCATCAATTCCACAATTAGTCCTCGTCTTTCACTTTATCCGTTTTTGGTACCTGACTATTGTTTTCTTGACCATATATAGTCCTTTTTCGGTAGTAAAAATGTCCAGAGATGGACCGAAAATGGTCAAGAAAACAATAGTCAGGCACCAAAAATGGATAAAGTGAATGATGAGGACTAAATATGGAAATGAAACAAAACTCGGAGGACCTAAAGTGGAATTAATTCATTATTCATTTCTTCCACTTGGTCATTCCTTCCGTGACTACATGATCAATGTGCATTAAATCCACATACAGTTAAGCCATAGAACCCAAGTAAAGGAGCACTCGTTTTCTTGTACTTTTTCAGTCTAATTGCATCACAACCTCACCATCTGAGTAAGCTTTACTGGATCTACATTCTGTATACACTTTGTTATAGCTTAACATAAATCCCTTGATCCTGAAGCTGATTTTAATCATTTAAGCATAATATTGACACCTCTAGATTGGTCCCAAAAACAATGTCATCTGCAAATAGCATGAACCCGGACACTTTATCTTGGATTTGGGTAGTTGCTTGTTGAGTAAGTTTGCCCAAAACTGGCGTTAACATGTATGAACTAGAAGCATATTCTTGATTGAATGATTGAGTCCTACTGTAATTACGAACATACTAAATTCTCCTATGTGACCACTAGTTACTATTCCCACATTATACTCCGTATTCATTATGACCTCAGTTCAGGCATCCTTTCTAGTACTCGATAAAATAAATTTGAAACATTGAACTTAAGTACTAAAAACAAAGCACCACATTTATCTCCTATCATGCACTTGCCTATCTCTTATTCCAAATCACTTACTAAAACAGAGGTATGATCATTTAAAGCTATCCGGCACTGTACCAATCCAACATTTAAGCATGTGCCAAACGCATAACTTTCAGGTATCTGTTGTACTCATATAGTTGTATCTCATATTTTTAGAAAAATATGCTTTCTGCATGTGTACCTGTTTTGTGTTACAGAAAAATCAAATTGGTATTCGGGCACACTTATAGTACTCCATTATCTTTTTCCCATCGTACTTTCTCAAAGTTTCATAGTGCAAGTAATTGGCACTACTAACCACTCTGTTTTTATATATTGCCACTAAGAAAATCATTTTAAATGCGTCAGACATCTTATTCAAAATTACATATGGTAGTTTGAGACTTTGAGCAACCACCTTATGCCACAATGTGCCATACATCTTCGACTCTCCAGTCCTTAATTGGGATACCATCTGGACCTATGGCCTTATTTACTTTCATCTTTTCGAGAAACTTTTAATTCCATAACCTCTAGCATATTGCCCATTTGCCATAGTGCGGTTTAAGTCCTTGATTCGTCTATTTAGGAATACCCACCTTATGTCGCCCGACCTCCATCATATAAAATCCTATGAAAGTGGCTTTTCCACCTCTCTTTTCATTTCCTATTCTTTTACCCAAATTATTTCCACATTCATCCTTGATTCTGCAAGTCTACATAGTTGTCTTTCTCCTTTTGTATCAAGTCACATAGATATACTAACTTAGACTCCAAATGGGCTTTTGACCTAAACGTTATCTTTAACTCCTTCACTCTACCAAGCCTCTTTTTCAAAGAATACCGCATTTTAGATTCTCATAGGTTGCCCTTACATAAATAAGATAAAACTTTCCTCTCCTTTACTAAGCTGAAGAAATCAGGCAGGTAAAAAAGAATACCTTTTGACGTTTTGAGCCCGGTTGTAATCGAGGGTCACGTGGACACCGAGAGGGGGTTGCCTGATCTGTACTTTCTTGAGCCTGCAAAAAAGTAGCTTATAAAATAAAACAGGTTCGAGCTCTACTAAAGGTGCATATTAAATGATAGCTTACCTGTGCTGAAACTTGTGCACTTCTATCCTCAGAAACGTCTACTTGTTCATTGGGTGAGATATTAGGTTCTGTTTCTGTGCTTTCAGATATTATTGGCATGATGTGACGTAGAATATTTGACAAAAAAATTCCATCTTCTATTGTCGCATCAGTCTCTTGAGAAGCAGCGTTTTGAGTAAATCCATTCTCACCGGTAGCAGAATTTGTGTTCATGCCATGAACCTGAATCAGGTCATCAGGGAATAATGCGCTAAAAAAGGTTTCAACTCCACTTGACATTTCACCTGTTGAGCTTCGATTGACTGAAACAAACACCGTGATTTTGTCATGGAAAGTAGAGGTAAGATATCATGAAAGAGAGAACAAGGGTTAGACACAATGAATAATTAACATGAAAAAGTGTGTTACAATTAACTTCAAAACAGTGTAATATTTTGGGTAAATCTATACTCACAAGTGGCAGAATTTGGGTTCGTGCCATGCACACCGGCATTCTCATCAACCTGAACCTGCTCATCAGGGAATACTGAGCTAAAAAAGGCTTCAACTCCATTTGGCATTTCACCCGTTGAGCTATGATTGACTGAAACATACACCACAAATTTGTCTTTGCAACACATGATAGATACATAGCAAAAGCCAGGGTATAAACAATGGACTACGCAATTATTGTACCATTGTATCCACATATGCATAGATGAAGCTGATGCTACAGGTATGATAACTCGCAAATAGACAATATAACATGAAAAATAGGGAACACTAAAACCTTAAAACTAAAGAATGAACAGATAATATGACAAAATGCATGTTATATTAACTCCAAAACAAACCAAAATATTGAGCAACCCCATACTCACCAGTAGCAGAATTTGGATTCATGCGATGAACACCAGTATTCTCATCAACCTGAATCTGCCCATCAGGGAATAATGCACTCAAAAATGTTTCAACTCCGCTTGACATGTCAACAGTTGAGCTACGATTTACTGAAACATAAACCAGGATTACTTTTCAACAGTTGAGCTATAACTTTAAACAATGGAGGTAGTACACAGGATTACTTTAAACATAAACCACAACTTTAGACATCTTTTGCAACAAATGATAGATACAACAAATGGACTATGCAATTAGTGTACCATAATATCAATGCATGCATAAATGAAGCTGATAAGTAAGATAACTCACAAATTGACAATATATAACATGAATAAAAAAGGAACATAACTTGAAATAGATAATCAATATATATATATATATATATATATATATATATATATATATATATAAGACTTGAGAGGAACTTTTTAAGAGCAAACAATGCGCCACATAACTCTGACATATCATCATACATAACAATTGTTTAATTATTTTGTATACCTTTTATTTTTTTTATTCTATTTTTATTACATGCTGATATAGAAATCCACCTTATTTGGTAACCTTTGGCAACCTTAAAACCACGTACATGTAGGCTATATTTTATGTTAGAATTTAGAAACATAAAAACTACGTACAGATGTAGGATATATTTTACCATATTTAAATTTAGACAATGATGACAGTAGGAACTTTACATATTGATGACCGTAGGAACTTTACAATATTATTGTATCTGCAATATTATTTCAGATATCCCTCTTTGCTTTAAGCTAATGATACAGACCCACATATATAGAAATATACGAAGTATAATAGTATATAACTTCAAATATGGGTTCCTTCAGCAATGTCCATATATATGCCGCCCCAAACAAACGAGGACCAGCTTAATATTCTTGCTATAGCTTCTAATATGAGTTGCAATTGAGATGAAATTTACAAGATGGAGAGGTGGAAGGTGGAATAAGTTTGGAATCCCTGGGCTCTTCTAACTTCCTTTTTTATTAGTTTAGACAGCTCATAATAGTCCAATTGAGAAAAGAGTTGAAATTTAAAAAACTCCGCTTTTTAACATTTTCAATGTGAAGATATAATGAGTAAAATGTAACATCTCACTATTAAAATTTAAAAATAATTATTCATACAATCATACAATTCAGCTAGAACTTAATCAGTTTCAGCAGAATCAGCCGATTCGAACAATTTTAGTGCTATCAAACAGGCTATATATTAAACTGAGTTTATTTTGCTTATGCATCAAATTATATATGATTCCGAAAAATTCAAATTAAAATTAGCTAAATTACGTACTGCCCATGCATCGCACGGGCTTGAAAACTAGTGAATATATAATGAATATATAATATGAAAAAAAGCATGTTACCGTTAACTCCAAACAGCCTAATATTTCGCACTCCTGCAGCCTCGGTGTTTGGCTGTTGCCCAATCTCAACATTGTGGGGAAGATTTTGATCTGATCCTTGTGAAGCATTCAAATTATTACCATTTTCAGAAGTGACATGCTGAACTCTACCCAAAACCGAGTTGAAGAACTCCATAGAACCTCGAGTTGCATCAGAAGTTGCACGTCCAAGAGAAGCAGGAACTGCAGCAACCAAAGTCCTAATAGGAAGTACCCGAACCTCCACACCCCTCGTCGTAGAGTTTCTAGTACCTTCAGTGCCTCTTTGATTGGAATTTTCACCATTAGGAGCTCCAGGAGCAGCTTGCCCCGGATTCTGCGGAACAGTTGCACCTCTATGGCTACCATTGGATGGCATATACGCACCTAGTAGCATGAGTGAGTTCTCAATGAAATTTCAAGAAGCAGAGATTCCAGGGTGGCATATACGCACTTAAGGGTAAAATCACCTCCTGCATAAGAATAATACCTGTTCGTATTCTGATGTCAATATTTCTAGGGATGAAGCCAGGTCCTGTGGGGCTGCCAGAAATTCCAGGACCATGTACAGATCCAAGTGGAAATGCACCAATTCCTGTCCCTACTTGAAAAGGTTGTGGCTGTACAGGATTTCAAATATATTAAAGTCAGTCTGAACCTACTAAGAACGCGGATAAAGACACTTTGAAGGGAAGAATGAGAATGTATCTGCATTTGATTAAGCATTACGAACAAAACCTGAACCATTATGGGATTGGGCCCAGTTGGAGATACAAAAACAGCAGGCCCCGCATTCACCACGGCAATATCCTATGTTTTAAACCATCAGTAAAATTTTGTTCTTCACTTCTTCTCCAGTACAATATAAACAGATTCCTAACTAAGACAAGGTGGTATAAAGGTTGCAAAAATCATAATCAAGTCTGGAAAGAAAAAGTTATCATACTGGTGTTTGACCGATCCGTAATGTCATTGTTGTCCGACCAAGCTCAAGTAATAGTGCACCTAAATTTTGGAAAAAAGCACCTGATCTCCACGCAAGTGATTGAATCCTCATTCTCTCTGTTGCATCTGTTACGTTTACCTGATCCTCTAATTGCCTCGACAGTTGCTGGAGTGTGAAAAAATCCAATTTCACAATATGCATTCATGTAAGGGTATTGCTTTATCTCTCGTAATGAGAAACTGAAGCATCAAACCATAATTACAAAACATGGGATTCTTTCTACTAATATAAGTAGTTATGGTCCATATGGATGCAAAGTTGATGCAGAAACTAATTAGGATAACTAGATCGAATATATTACTTTCCAAAATGGGATACATGACATTTATTTTGGGACAATCCAAAAATGGAAAGTAAGACACATAAAATGGGATGGAGCCTGGAGGGAGTATATCTTTATGAACAGGTGTGGATTGCTTCCATTCACTTTTCCCTGTAGTAAATCTATAACTTATATTCTATGTCCACAGGCTTCATGCATCAGCTAATACAAAGTACAAACTAGCACACAAATCTTCTAGCAAACTTAATTTCAAGTCCATCAGACCATTTTTTGTCAAACCCTAACAGTAACCCCACTGGGTTGCAATTTGCAAAAGAGTCCACGGAAAAAGTAGCCAAATTAATTCAAATGTTTCTACTCTGGGCCTATCTCACCTGCAACCCCACCCCCAAAAAATGTTTGTATCCTTGTTCCATTGATCCATTTCTTTTTAGCAATTGCAAATTATTTCTTATAGTTAGTTAGGGACCGTATTAGAACCACATTAAATGAAAGAATTGACAGCTCAAGGGCATACCAATAAGCACTCTGCAGCTTGCTCAACAACTAATTGTCTAGTAGAAAGCATCACATTAGCCAACAGCTCTGGTGTTGGAAGGCCACCCTGACCAGTTGGATATGAGGAAACGTTGGACTCCTGTCTGTTGCTTCCATTGGTGCTAGAGGTCAGTGAAATTCCACTCGGTCCTCCAACTGCAAATCACACAGTTAAACACATTAGTGTACTAAGGTTACCTAGCCCCAAACCCTCATGCATCTTGTTTCACTCTGGCTTGATAAACAGAATCCGCACATTACCAGTTGCGTCAAATTCTTCTCTCAAATGAGTCAAGTACTGGGACAAAGTTGTCAAAGAGTCCACAACAACCTGCAGGGAGATCACTTTGGATTGGTTTAACGATACATTGGTAAGGACACACGTAAAGAGAAATTCCAAGTGAGTGAAGTGACATCCAGCATCACAGGATGAAGAGTGACTATGATCAAATGGAAGGCACGTTCCAAATTTGAAAATAACGTAAAAAGGAAGAAAATGACAAAGGGGACACTCTGCGTCCTCAGAAGGCCTGTATAATTTATACCGGCAGTTGCATGGAATCCACTGGAACATTTGTAGGTCGAGCAGAAGCACCAGAACTTGAACTAGGTTGATCCCTTACACCACCTTGCTCATTCTGGAATCTAACAGAATTTCTTAGATTACCAAGACCCTGGTCAATTATTCAAGGGGGAAAACATTAGGTTATAACAACCAGCATTGTCTTTACAAAATTTGTGAGTTTGAAGTCATCCCATGTCAAGATATGGACTGCACAAGTGTGCATAACCGCATATACACTTCGAATGCATAATGTCTATATAGTACATATAGGCGTATATTGTTAGGCACAGAACCTCCTCCCTCATGACCATTCAACTAGTTATTCCTTTTTGCTGGCTTTCTTAATGCAAATCAATCCACACTGCCCCCACATTCCAACCTTGAAGTTGTGAGACTACACCATCCCCCCTCCCCCCTCTGAATATATGACTGAGGGCTAAAAGAGACCATCATAATTTTCCTCCAAGAAAATTATAAAGTAGATAAAGCAGGGAATATAATCAGAAGTTACAAAAAGGGAATGAAAACCGAGAAAAAATGCAATCAAAGATAATCATTTCAAAGGAAACTTACATTAAGATCAATCGCCCCACTTCCACTCCCAAGATTTGCATTTCCAATGGAACCAAGTACGGCTGAGACAATCTACAATATGAAATAAATAAGATAATTTGAGCTTGCTGATTTGTGGATGTATAGCTCTTATAAAATGTAATTGGAAAAATAGTGTACCCGACTCATGTCAGGGAACAACCCATCTGCTTGTTCAGATAAATTTAAAGTTCCCACAAATAGACCAGGGGCCAATGTACTACCATAAGCATTACCAGGGCTTGATGCATCAGATGTCCCTACAATATCATGGTCCTTGATTGAGAAAACAAGCTACAAGGTAATTGAAAAACATTTAATAAGGAACTAGTCTCCTTTATGATATTTCACTTTATAGTTTTTATATATAGTGTGTAGGGATAAGGTGGATAGAGTAGTAGCTGCACTCTCAGGCATTCATCCTACAACAACAACATCCAAGCCTTAGTCCCAAACGAGTTTGGGGGCTGGCTAACATGAATCGACATATGAAATCGGAGTTCAGGCATTCATCCTATAAACCAAATATTATAAATGGCAGTAATTTTTAATAAACCTAAAAGGTCTAAGTTCACTTCACATTTCTTTATAAAAATTATTTCTAACACAAAAAGGTAAGCAATTGCCAGAAAAGTTCAGTTTCTAGATAAAGCAGGTTAAAAGAAGTTAGAACAAAGCCATAACAAAGTTTGAGTTCGTTCTGAAGTCTTTGTTGTTGTTAGACTGTTAGAGTAATGAACCTTGAGGAACAGGATTGCTTTCTGATGGTTGTTGCCTCACAACCAGATGCAGAGTATGACCATCTTCCACATCTAACATGATATTTATTAAGGTCCACAGATGTCTACATCAGTGTGTGTGAAATGAAGATTTCCACTCACAAGGGTAATCCAATACCAATTTCAACCATAAAAAATAAAGATCAAGCACATGCAAAATAGAAGAACCACCTCCCGATAAAAAACAGTACGAATGGTTTTAATTGCACAAAGGAAGACATTGAAGTTGCACAAACAGATCAGACTGTCATATGTTGTGACTCAACTTGCACTCAAGGAGAAATACAAGAAATAGTCCTTACAGGTACTAAGGTACACATATGTCTACTTTCATCCATTAATAACTCATTTGATGAAGATGCCAAAGTGATTCGCATTAAACAAATAAAAGAGCGGTACTATGGGCACAAAAGTGGTAAAACTAATTTCAAAAATCAGAAAATTCACAAATGCATTCTTGTGAGAGCACTCGAGCAATAAAGTGAACTTACTTTTTGAGTAAAAGGAATGCTTCCTCCTTCCCAAATTAATTTTCGTTTTAACTAAAACTTTGTCTTAAAGTATTTTCGTTTTAGAAATTAAATACATATTTTTAACTCATCTTCCAAGCATACTCCATACCCATATTAACTCTCTATCCATTTAGTGCTTTTGTACATAAAAATAAATAAAATGCATTCTGCATAACTTTAGACTTTTTAAGTGAAGTTAATGTTGAATTTAAATAAGGATGGTAGGGTCATTTTGTTAGGCTCCTTTATATATGAACATTTTTCTAAACATCGATTTCTTTGGGAAGGAGGGACCGAGGGGGTATATCGGAAGTGTGCACTAGATAAGAGAAGAGAAAAATGTTGATTGAGCAACTAGGTTTGAATCTTAGTGGTTTACTAATTACTACTTTGATACATGCTCAAAAGATAATGAGAAACAAGAGGATACGATAAGCTGAAAGAAGTTGATCATCTTTCAAAACTTTTCCACGGCATATAAGCCGTTGCTGTTCTGACAAGACACCAGTAACTGTAGCAATTTGATCCTTTAATGCAGGAACAGGAACCTGCAGTAACATACGCATGTTGAGAAGAAAGCAGTGAAACTTCTATGTGATCATTTAAAGGCCAACTTTTATCATGTCCAAAGAGTACAATGGGAGCCATGGTAAGGAAATGTATTTTCACTTCCAACTTATATGTGAGTGGAACTGCAAATATGCAATTTTTCAGTTTTCTGTGATAAGAAACTATAAAAGAGAAGGTAAGCACAGAGAAATATAGATCTTGAAAAGGCCCCTCAAAATGAAACAAGAGATTTCCTAGTGACAAATAAATGCATTTCGAGCACGTCAATAACAAAGTATAATAAATGAGAATGCGGGATTAAAAAGGTGTTTACACATTTATCTACGCGCAATGTGTATGTTTGAGAATCCAATGTCTTTATCTTAATCTCAACTGTTGCCTCTGGACATTCAGCTTCAGCACTCCCGGAAACTTTTATGTAATCAGCTCCACTACTACCCATCTGTTCCCCCCTTAATAACTACCTGGATGTAAATGAGTCGACAACATATTAAGTTGAGCTTAAAAACAGCAAACAAACACAACATTACCTTAGAATATAGAGTACGATATGGAAGGGAGTTCAAGATAAGAAGAAAAGGTCGGCATAAAAGCATGCAAAATATGCATCAGCGTGCCATTTGATGGCTACAGTATGCAAAACTAATAATCATCTAGCTTCATTGACTCCTATTAAAAGAAATAAATAAAGAACGCTAATAACAGTTTTCTGCAAAGACAATTAAAAGTCAAGTGTTATAAGTTTTACCCCATCACACTGAGGCACTCCTTGATCCAACTACCCGAGACTGAAGCCTTAATGAGTGTTTTACAGCCAAACACTGAGGCGCGCCTCAAAAACGTCTTTTTAGACACTGCTATTCATTTTTCATGTTCCCATAATGCATACCATCCCAACCCAGGAAGTAAACAAAAGTATTAACTAGTCAAAGAAAAATGAAACCCTACAATCAAATTTAGTTGACATCACAAAGCTTACTAGAAGAAAACATTTATCAAAACCCTGAGGACTTAAGTAAATAAACATGAAGCAATTGAATGAGCCTTCATGACAATTAAGGATAAAATATTCTTGAATATCCTACAAACTCTAACATGGCCCCATAAATAAATGAAAATGCTTTATCAAAACGAATTGCACTAACCTGTGAATACTACTTAATGGCACACAAGCCCGCTGATGAAAAATACAACAGCTCTGTTTTTGGTGATTCCCCCACAGATAAGTAAACCAAAGAAGTTTTTGTTTGTATTATGTTTTAGGTAATTTAAAGGCAGCGGTCACCGACAACTTAACCAATAGTGACTCAACAACAAGCAAAACCCATCAACCCTCAATCCCTTGCAGAAAAAAACTCAAATTTATAAACGTTATCGGTAAATGATCCCACAAGAAATTGTGATGGTGCAGGATTCCAAACAAATGATTCACAGAAATCCCATATTCATCGCTGCCTTGATATTTCACACAAACAGCAAACTCCTCGCATTCATCCTCGAACTCGAAAAATAAAAATAAAAAATCAGACTCCGATCATTCACGGGACTTGAATCGACAACCTCAGAACCCTAGCATTGATTGAGCAGCAAAGAACCCCGCTAAAGTAACGAGCGTCGAAGGGGCAAACCTGGCTATCGCGAGCTTCCAGGGAGGAGAAAATTCACTAGGCTGGTCAGCAGGGAGGAGTGAAAGTTAGCTATGGATAAAAAGCTGCGATTTCTTGACGTGAATCATTCTTTTCTTTTTCCTTAATTTTTACTATATACCAGTACGGAGCAAAATTATCAATTATCAAAAAACTCGCAGTGCATAAAAAAAGTTGTTACATATAGCATAGACCAGCGTATAATAATACCCTTAACACCGAGTATGGGCTAATCATGGGTAAATGTATATAGTACAGACTCTACGGTGCTAGCGATAAGTCAATGACAAACTTGTAATTTTGATAGAAATCGTGAATTCTCTTAAATGAGCATTGAATCAATTTTGATGAGCATTGAGCTTGTTTTTTTAGTATTAGGAGCATAACAATGAGCATTAGTGATATCTGCTTCATTCCTCATGTATTGCATTCCGTTTATTATTTTTTTGTATATTAAAGTCTTAAATTATGTCTATAATCAATTTCATTTAATTTCAATATGTGAATCTAATGGATTATGATATGTTTAACACGTGCAACCTTTTAAAATGAGCATAAAACAATATCAAATGAGCATACATAACTTAATTACAAAATGAGTATCAAAATATTAAAAAAACTCATTTGTGTGTACTCATTCATTTTGAGCGTTATGATCATTTGAGTTTAACATAAAATTTATTTTGAAATATGCATGAATATGACATTTTAAAATGAGTATTGCACTAATATTAAATGAGTATACATAAATTACGAAATGAGCATTCAAAAACCTCATTTGAATGTCTATTATGCTCATAATTTCATTTGTTATGCTCATATCATAAGAATTATGTATAATTTAGATTTATCTAACCTGCGACCAATAAGTGACCAAACTCACTCACCAAACTTGGGTAAGAAAAAGAGAAAAAGGAAGAGTCCAGAGCAAGAAAGAGGGAGAAGAAGCAACTAAGGCTATACACCAAGAGAGTCATCACAGGAGCCGCCGCTCAAGCCAGAGTTTGAGGTGTGCGCTCGTGCTGGAGGGTTGCGGTTGTCGAGAATCGTCATCTGTGTAGGCGGCGAGCGAAGGATGAGTAACGAGAACGATCTGCGAAATGCGATGGAAGCCTGTAAACTGCGATGGATGCCCTGCTATTTGTGAACTAAAAGATCGGTTGTGCCGTGCGCACGATACAGCCAGGTGTATCATGTAATTTGCGTAATTAAGGACTCGCAAGATATTCGATATGGACTAGTTTCGCTAACTATTAGATTATGAATTAGTATAGACTAGTTATTCCACCCGTGCGTTGCACGGGAGTGAAGTACCTACATAATAAAGGTTTAAAAATAATTATATAAAAATTAAACTATAAAAACTAAATAACGGACCATTTACCATTTTACTAAAAAGATTGAATAAAATGCTAGGTAAGTTTTTCATTGTAATAGCATAATAAGAAATAAATTGTAAAAATTAATTGTAAAAATTAAATGTGAATAATCATATGATGAAATAGATGTGCATGTATATCCATGAAATTATCAAGGAAAACTACAAATTACTATAAAATCATTTGTATACAACATTCAACAATGACTTTATTGGTCATACTTCTTCTTCACATATCACAAATTTCAAGTGAGATGGATCTGTTACTTTCGAAACCATCACGCCGAGGGAAATGCCAACCTTTTTAAATGATTTCCTCAAGCTCTTATTAATAGTTATTGCATAGCTAATCATTAATAAATCTTTCAACTTTTCTCGATGCATCATTTGAGCCAAATATGAGCCCAAATTTAGTCCATAGAAGTTGTGTGTCATTGCATAATCCACATGAATGATCTATATTCCAGATAAGTATCAAAGGCACCCCATTTTCAGCCCTATCTCATGGCTCGATGAAATGGAACATTTAGTGCTATTAATTAAGAAATTCAAAAGAATGTATCTCATGCAAAAGGTCACCATATGAGTTAGATGAAAATGTCGAATCCGAGCATAGATTAATCTTTAAATTTGAATCTTCTAACCCAACATATAATCATTAACCTATCAAGCGCATTGTATTAGGTTGATATTGTCCATGAGGTGGATTACGACTTTTGTTTTAATTTCTTTCCTCTTAATTGTTGATCATTTTGTAAGAAAAAAATTATTTATAATGAGATAATAAAGTGCTAAAGTATTACTGTACTCCTACTTTTGTTTTAAATCTACAAAATAAACGCCCCAAAGAAATGCAAAACAGAGAACAAAAAAACTGCTTTGTGTTGCCTTTCTTTATTCCTCTTTCCATGATTAAGTGGATTAACGAATAAGCCCAATATAAACCCACAGTGGATGAGCAATTCAAACTCACACTAGAAAAAGAAAGTCAACTCCAAAGTCATAAGCGCTCTATTTGATGTAAGATCTCAGCTACCTTCTTTTGAAGTCCCTTTCCATTCTAGCTCCAAAGCAATCTTAAATAGTTTGCATCCCCTAGTGTATGGTTTAGTTTCAAAAGCGATCCCTATCAAAATTCTTCTAACCTGAAAAAAACAAACTAATATGGTGTGATAAAATTAAACCAAAACTGTTCACCAAGCCATTATATTGATAAAATTAAATATACTATTTCCCAACTCAAAGTGGATTCATCATAGTTACTTTTCAATATTTTCAAAACATATTCAACAATTCATTTTATTATTAATAATGATCTCCCAAGTGATAGAATAAGCCTCTTGGATACGTAAAAGATAGGCTTCCTATGTAGATGCACCAACACCAATGTTTGCTTCCTCATGTGCTTATTTCTTTTCATTTATGCATGTTCTCCAAGACTTGAGTGAAGAAGATAATAGAGACTAACTGGATTTCAAGATGCCACTTCCGGCTGGGCGAGAAGATAGATGCCAAATTCAGAAACAACTAATTTATACCTTCACCTTAATCCTTTGTAGATGCACCAACACCAATGTTTTCTTCCTCATTTGCTTCTTTCTTTTCATTTATGTTCTCTAAGAATTGAGTAAAGAAGATAATAGAGACTAACTTTCAAGATGTCACTTTCGGCTGGGAGAGAAGATAGATGCTAATTTCAGAAAAAAAAATTAATTTACACCTTCACCTTAATTCCAAATATATTGGGGTCAAAGCAGGAACTTTATAGTGTCAAACTGCCACCAATATCAAGAGTGTATTTCCAATCAAACTAAGTTTCCAATCTGACTAAATCAATTCAAAGATTATAAAATACCATTGAAACTCAAGCTTAAAGAAAATCAACAAATCAATGGATTTGTGTAAATTTACATGTGTCGTAAACCTAAATATAAATAATTACATATTTATGACTGAAATACATTCGGGTCAAAGCAGGAACTTTATAGTGTTAAACTGCCAATTAACTGTCTAGGATCAGTTTCATGATCCACTCATGCAAGAAAGCATGACTAACATTTAAAATAAATTTAAAGCATAAATAATTACATATTTATGACTAAGATAAAGGTTCTTAAAAAAAGAAATTGCTCAATATAGGCAGAAATATACACAAAGTTCAAAAATATGACTACATATGTTTTATTTCCCAAACGGGACTTATTTAGTCCTATTAAAAGGATAACCTGATAAAACTTTCAAAGTAGGAATGAATGAGTTTTATTTTGGGAATAAAACATTGATTGTCCTATTTATGAACTTTATCCATGTTTTAGTCTTATTTAGAGAACTTTGTTTTTTTGACCTCCTAGGTGTAGTGGCTATTGTAGTAGCTTTCATCATAGTAACTTTTGTTCAATTTTTACATTTAAGTGACCATAAGACTATATTATAGTAACTATTAGTCATATAGTAATTATTCAATAAACCATTTAGTATTTAGTGTAAATGTGAACTAATCTACTTTAGTTTAATTAGATAAAAAAAATCAGAACTATCAGATTTAGTAACAACCTAATATGAGTAATTTAGTGCAAATATAGTTTCTAATGTAGGATTAGTCATATTAGTCATATAGTAATTATACAACAAATCATTTAGTATTTAGGGTAAATAAGCACTAATCTACTTTAGTTAAACTAATCTATTTAGTTTAACTATCAGATTTAGTAATAGGAAACTAATGTAGATATACTACTAAAATTATTAATGAAAAGACCATCACTTGAAGAAATGAAAATAATTTGGGCTCACAATTTTTACTGGGAATTCATTAAAGACTGATATATAAAAACTAATACTACTGGTTTATCTAGAGTGGGAGATTTAATAAAATTAAGACTAACATTAACAATTTAGATCAGAGGTGGAGAGCTTAGTAGTTTACCATACAAAATGCTCTACCCTGCCTTCTTCATTAGGAAAATATAAGAGGATCAAATTAGAGAACAAATGTATCATCTAAACTGAATCGATGTAGTTGATTGATCCAAATACAATTTAGACCTATTCACTCTATTTACAGAATCACAGTAGAAGATAGAAAAATTGAAACCAAATTAAAGTGGAACAACCTAATATGAGTAATTCAGTGCAAATAGAATGCAGGATTGTGGTTTAAACTGAATGATAATCAGATTTCAAGCTTTGAAACAAAGTCAGAAACAAAAAGCCATTGACATATGCAGAAGGTGCATGGAAATTACCCAAAGAGTGACTAAGAAACTAATAAAGAAATAAAAGTCATTTTATTAAGCAAGAGTGTGAGACTAAGCAGATCATAAATTCGATCACCTTTGGTATAGCATTTGGAAGAAAATATTGCAGATCATTTTGTATTCCTATTAAGTATAGAGGAATACAAATGCTATACCAAACATTAAATAAAAAAATCAATTACATGAGAAAGATTGATAAAAGGAATCACTACCCAAAATGAAGTGTTCCAGCTCCTCTATGGATATGGATAAATGCTGGCGAATTTTTTTTCTTCCGCCATGAGGGTGCTTTGAGTTGGAGATGGTGGCTGACTTGTAGAGGAGCGGGAAGGGTAATAACTTCCTGGAGTCTGGTGGATGCTTCAAAGCTGGAGGTGGAGAAGGGTACAAAGGCGGTTGAGACGGGAGACTGTGGAGTTTGGCGTCAATGAAGGCCAGAAGGGAAGAAGCGCAATGAAATCTGACGGTGATATTCTAATTAGATGAACGGTCCAGATCATTTTGTATTCCTATTAAGTATAGAGGATTATTAGGGCGGTTAATTTTATAATAATATTGACTTAATCGTTCACGCATTAA